TTGTTGTGAAATTCAAAGTATGATTAGATACATCGTTGTATATCGAACCTAAAAGGATTGACGATCCTTGATGTTTTGAAGAGAAATAAGGTAGATTGATCAATGTTATGTGACGAACCTAGAGAATAAGTTTGGATTTTAATTTCAATAATGGATACGGGATAAATGTTAGTGTATATATATATATATATATATATATATCTTTTTTAATTTTCCACATCATTTATACATGGTTAACATTTATGTGTCATGTCATTACCATGTGTCCATATGGGTCCCAATAGATGATATACTAGTGAAGTTAATAGATACATCACAGAGTTAATGAAAACACTCAATTAGAAAAAAAAATTACAACTTATTCTACTCAAATAACACACATTAAATAGCACAAACCCAAATAAAAAGAAAATGACAGGTTGGTACATTGAAAATATAATTAACTCTTTTACTTTATATCACTTTTTTTATTTGATCCACTTAATATTATTTTATCAAAAAATAATGTCTGATTCAAACAAATTTTAGTAATTGGCTTGAGATTGACTCAAATTGGATAATATAATGGTATATTAACTGAATTGAAAATACAAGAGCAAAATTACCGTCGAAGCATGTTTGAGCTCGACTGCCAAAGGTGGTTGCGTGTGGCTTTCACATGACGATGCATGGATTCATGCATTAGGTTTGTCATGGATGCCTTGGATGTGTAGATTGTTAACGCACCGTCGCCCCCTTTTTCTTTTTTTCGTGGAGGAGATCAACAAGAGTGAATTTTAGTATGTTGTTGGCACCATTTATTGCTATTATGTCGTTAGTTGCTATTTTCATTGACAACTGTGGCTACTATTGAGGAGAGATTATAGCACTGTGGCCAGAGGTGTTGACAACGTGATTGAAAATTAGAGAGGACAACGTTGTAGCAGATACGCTGTCATTGTCGAGTTCAGATGAAGGTGTTTCGTGCAAATTATTTTTTTTACTTTACGGAGCCTTTGGAATGTTGTTTCAAAAGTGCCCACATTTGATTTTCATCGTCGAGATTCTCTAGACTATTTGGGTATGGTGGCAGGTAGTGTTCTTGGCTTCAAGTGGTGCTGGCATGGGAAAAGATGGTGAAGATGAGGGATGTCGTGGTGATTTTGTGGTGGAGAGGGAAAAAGAGAGAGGCAGAAGCAGAAAAGAAAAGGAAAAATAATAAACGTGCGAGACAGAGTGTCAGCTAATTTTTTATTTTTTATTTTTACATGGACAGTGGAGTCTCTCTAGAAAAAATCACTCTATTTGTCTGTGACTTGACGGTATTTATCCCTTAATGGATAATAATCAATGAAAACTCTTGAATGTTCTCTCACCTTCTAGGCATATTCAAGAGAATATCCTTTGAGATGTTTTTCTAATAATTTTTTGGACGAGAATAAGAGAAGAACATAAGGTTATCTTATGTGCTTTGTGCTAAGCATAGTTTAGAAAATACTCCTTGAGATATTTTCTTCTTTGGGCTTGCTCTTTAGGACTTACGCTCAAATCTTCTGTAACTCAAGTTGGATTCATTATGTGAATAGCTTGTGTAACTTTTTTTTTTTTTTTTTTGTTAATGCTCTTTCCTAACCAAATTTTTGTTTCATTTTTTTTTTTTTTAATTTTAACATAGCGTAAATCATATTGATACAAGATCATTTAATACTTAAAAACTCTAAAAAAGAAAATGCAGTAAATTATAGAAAACTGAAAGTCTAAATATTTGCGAATAATACAATAATGGTGGTCAAAAGACCTATATACATCACATCATACATAGTCTATCCTAGTTGTCTAAGGGCTAAACTAGTAAATAATATAAAATAAAAATTCAAAAATTAATTCTAGAAATATGAAAAATAAGAAAAGTAACAAAATAGAAAGTCTTAATTTCTAAATTAGAGTAAATTAGACTGATTTTGCTTGCGCCACCCAGACACTCATATCAAAATTATGATCATTTAAATAATCAATACACGTTTGTCTTTTCAAATTATGGTTTCGAACTTTTATTTGTAGTTTTAGTCTATGGACTCATCAAGACATCCTATGTTAGATTTTTATCTCAAAATATTTTATTTCTCAATATGATTAAATGTTTTTTAATTGATATGACATTCAAATAAAAAGTTATGATCATTTAAAAAACTATTGATGTTTACGTATTCTAATAAAAAATAAAAAAAGTAACAAAATAGAAATTTTTAATTCTAAAATTAGAGTAATTTGGATTGATTTTGCTGCTTTGGATCATAAAAGGCTCGAAAGTGGATTTTGACCTTAAAAATAACCTTGACAACTTATATGAACATCTCATCTTGTGGGCCTCTAAATAAACTTTGAGAATTAATATTATTTAAACCATTTAGACACTCATCAAAGTTATGATCATTTAATTAATCAATTTGTGTTTGTCCTTTCAAACTATCTTTTTAAAACACTGTTTGTAGATTTAGTCTATGAACTCACCAATTAGACATTTTGTATAAAATTTTTATCTCAAAATATTTTATTTTTTAATATAATTAAATTTTTTGAATTAATATATCATTCAAATAAAAAACTATGACCATTTAAAAGATAAATGTACGGTTGCGCATTCAAATTGTGTTCGTGGATTTCTTTTTGTCAATCTGTTACATCAAATCATCACTTAGATGCCCCACGTCATATTTTTATCTCAAATCAATTTAATTCTTCTTTTAATTGCACCTTATTTTCTTTCTTTTCTTTTCCTTTTTGTTTTTGATTTGCTTTCTCACAATTAAGAAAAATATGTAAAAACGCTAAAATTCTTTAAAAACTCATAAAAGGCTAAAAATTTTGAAAATTTGGAAAAACCATATGAAAAATTCAATTTTTTTTTTTTTTTTTTTTTAGATTTTTGAGGAATAGAGGAAGGTAAAGATTATTGATCTCAAATGAGATTATTTAAGTTAAGCATTTTTCACCGTACACGACAAGGTTATGACGCCAGACATAATTATAGCATGCAATTAACATGATGATTGACAAGGTAACGATACTAAATATTGATATGGTCAAATTATTAAATACTTATTTATAAATAATGGCTAAACAGTGCAAACCTCTTCTGAACCTTAAGTAATTTGAGAATTGATCTTATAATTTTTTATTTTGAATTAAGTCTTTTGCTCACTATTTTTCATTTGAAATTAAGTTTTTATTTTATATTTTCATCAATTTTAACGCATAAATATAATTCCTCAATAGCTAAAAACATATCAAATCTTATAGATGCTTTATTTTTCTCTCCAAAGCTTGATTCTTTCCTCCTAAATGCTAAAAAAGATAAGTAATTAAAAAATATTTTAGAAGAAAAAAATAAGTTTAAAAGAAAAGGCAAAACACCCATAAGTTTTGACCCATTTTTAGTTGTTGCAAAAGTTAAAAAGCAAAACATATGCAAGTTATGTGTACTTCCATTATTAAAATTGATAAAAACCTAACAAAAAAATTAATTTCAAATGAAAATAATTAGAGGGATGTCTAACCTGAGTTAAAAGTTGAAAGACTAATTTTTAAATAATTTAAAGTTTAGAAGAGGTTTGAACCATTAGCCATAAATAAGCAATTGAAATAAACTCAACTCTACATTTGCATCCCATATCGAATGTACAATTAGTTTATAGTTAATTAGTTCGAGTCTTTAATTTGTCCTTATATTTTTAATTGCATATATTATATTTTTTAATAATATTTAAGTATTCAATCTGTCATTCAAATTAATTTTTTCGACTATGGCTGAATTTTTTGACCAAAATGCCTTTGATTGAAAAAAATAAAAATATACTCTCACACACACACTGCATTTTACTTAGAAGCATTTTGGTTAAAAAATTTACTCATTGTTAGAAAAATTGATAAAAAGACATAATAGAGCCTTAAACATTATTTAAAAATATAATATATGCAATTAAAAACGTATGGACAAATTAAAAATTGAAGCTTTTATATAAAAACATATTAAACTATTTACTCTATATATTATCACTACTCATTTATGCAAGGAATGAAAGTTCCTTAGCATCTTCTTTTTATTTTTTATTTATTTTTCAGATTTTGTTAATTTGTTAGGAATATATTTATGTAATTGGAACATAAATAATAATGGTTTCTTTATTTATAACATGTAAATTTTTATATGAAGAATGAATTATGTTGTAGTTCCAGTAGTTATTTGTCATTTTCCCCGTATTTATATATGTTTCCAAATAGTGGTATATTTTTCTAAAATAGTTTTAAATAAAGTTTATTTTATCAGAGATTCGTCTAAATACAGTTTTTTAAAAAAATACTAAATAAAAATAAAAATATTAATATAACATAATAATTAATAATTTTGTTAATCAGCGTGAAAAGTTAGGACGAGTATTTGCAATTTAATACTTTTGACATATGTATATTTTATGAAGGGTTGGTTGTTGGAGTCACGTCTTGGGCTTTGTGAATTAACCGTTTTCTTCTTCTTTTAGATTAAAAGAGGATACTGGAGGCCCAAAACTGAATTGGACTCAGTTAGAGTCGTGGTGAGTAAGTTTCCGCGTCAAAAATCAGGGAGCCACCACCAGTACACACCATTCGTCCATCGATTCATCCCCTTCATCGTCATCTTCATCTTCATCTTCATATTGTTTTCTTTTCTTTTAAAAATCAACAAAGTTAACCAAAACCAACCAACCATCCGTCTGTATGCCTTAGCCTTATATCATAATAAGTGTCAGTAGTATTTATTTATTTATTTAGTTGTTAGAAAGGGAAAAAAAAACCCTAATGGAGAAAAGCCTGCAATTCTGAATGGAAATCCAATTTTCTTTACCCAGATCATACATTTACGCCTCTTTTCGGATCATCCGCTTCTCTCTTTTCTTCTCTGGAGGCTGATTGATTTTTCTTTTTTTGTTTCTCGTAAATTAAAATAAGAAAATAACCCAGAATTTACATTTAGAGAAACAGAGATGGAGGAGAGTTCGGGGATGGCGGCGGATGGTGGTGAAATAGGTCCGATTGTGTGGGTGCGGAGAAGAAACGGGTCGTGGTGGCCCGGTCAGATAATGGAGGCGGATGAGCTGGCGGAGTATAATCTAACATCGCCGCGAACAGGAACTCCGGTCAAACTCCTTGGAAGGGATGATGCAAGCGTGTAAGCCTTTTCTTCTTAATCATGTTTCGAATTGTGGTGGTTCTTTTAATTAGATGATTGCTGAGATGACACAAGAGAAATGCTTTGCTCTGTTGTATTAATAAATAGATGAGAAATAAAGATAAAAAATATCTATAATTGAGCTGCTAAATTGTGTAGTACTACTCCATTTAGATTAAGGTTAGATTAGATTAGATTTTAGGTGTGTAGGCTATAGCTGCAATGTTCTGATGAGGCTGGTCCCTCTTTTAGTAGACTCAGCTATGAATATGAATGAAGAAATGAATGCCGGCTCTTTCTGCTAACCCCAAGAAGTTTCTTAATGCTGATACTTTCTGTTTCGTCGAGCCCCATGTGGTCCTCCTTTGATTGTGGGTTCAATTGGATAAATCCGTCAAGTTGGAGTTTTTGGATTCCGAGAAAACGTAATAAGTGCGTGTCCATCCTGTCTTTTCTATACACAAATATGAATACGAATCATTCAATGCTCTAGAAATGCAAGCTGATAATAACAACCCGTTTTGCAGAATCTTAAAGCATATTTGGATTTTTTTGGGAATATTTTGATAAAGTCATTCTTCCCTAATTACCCTACTGGGGTTCACTTCTACTGTGATTGCTTCATTTTCACAGTGGCTGTACTACCATAAAATAGTTTTTCATCAAGTCTTATCCAAAATGCCTGCACTTCTTCCTGCCACCATCCTTTTTGCATTGGTAATCCATCTAAGGTTTTGAGTTGTCGCATGTTGAAAGCCAAAATGTAAACAGTCATTCCATGCTTTACAAATTTTCTAAATGCCTTTCAATATATGTCTTGAAAGAAAACAAACATGTTGGGCGTACTGTCAGAATTCGAGTCGCAGAAAATAACTCTTTGTGTATATTTCATGGAGTCTGCAAAGATCCATAATTTTGTTTCTAGGAAAACAAATAAGCATTTAGTTTCTTTATCTACTACTATTGCTTGGTCATCTGCGTTTCATTTTGTTAATTTTCTGTCTGTTATCTTTCTTTTCTATGCAGTAATAACTTATTGAGGTTTAAATATTTTTAAACTTGACTTTGATGAAAAAACGCAGCCAATTGGCTCTTAAGTTATTGACATTCCACAAAATGTTTTGCTAATTTGTTTCTCCTCTCCCCTACTGGAAATGTTAAACTAAGTGTTCCTTGCCCTCATTTCAAGTTATTTGATTTCCCCATCTTTCAATGTGTCTGTCACATCTTCATTATGATTTCATATCATTCTGCTACTTCTTCGCAGGGACTGGTACAATTTAGAAAAGTCAAAGCGTGTGAAAGCATTTCGGTGTGCTGAATTTTCTGATTGCATCGAAAGGGCTGAATCTGCACTGGGCATGCCAATCAAGAAAAGAGAGAAATATGCACGTCGAGAAGATGCGATTCTTCATGCCCTTGAGCTTGAAAGGCGACTATTGAAAAAGCAAGGCAAATTGGTTGTTGCTTCTGATTGCCCAAGAAGTAACTCATCTGGGTTTGTGAAGACCGAGCTGGGTGCATTTTCAGAAGGCTTGGTAATCAATAGTGGAAAACATGAGGATGTTAAATCGAACCAACCTTCAAGAGGAGTTGATACAGAGATTCCAGGCAGTCAATTAATTCCACTGAAAGCCAAGGATGGAGATCAACCAGATTTAGAAGATCACAGTGAGGCAGTGCTGCAGATGAGAGGTTTGCAGGACTTCAGGTTGAGGACTTCTTTAAAGCGAAAAATTTCTCCTTCTGTTGATTTAGATGGTTCTTGGAGAAGACCTATAGCAGGCCACAAATATGAAGATCCTCCTAGCAGTACACCTCATGTGGAAACAACTACTCAGGCAAACGGTAAGACATTCTTTAGACAAATGAAGATGGTCACAGAAGGGTTGACTGGGGAATATTTAGTTAAGGGATTTGATTGGGTCCACTTGCTTATTCAAGGATTGCAAAATATTGCAAAATTAGAAATCCCTCATTTATTGCAATCTGACCATGGGTTTGTTTCTATATCTCTTTCAGGAGTGGAGAAGATGGGAGCTATTTCTCGGGCAAAGAGGAGTAGATGTTTTTACTTGCCAGCTGATTCTAGTGATTCTATGGATGATAAAGAACTTCCTCCGATCCAGAATAAGATGTCTCCTTCTTGCTTTGAAGACAGGTTACATTCCCATCCTGGTTCATCAAATGAAGAGGACTCTTCCTCTGGATTTATGGAAGATGTTGAATCTGATTCTTCTGGGTCTAATTCATCTGAATGTGAGTCTGATTCGTCTCAGACTGAGCCAGATATGGACAAAGAACTGGTTGTTTTTTCAGGTTCCATATTTACTACTCCTTTCTCATAGATATTGTGATTCTCTGGGGACCAACAGATTGACTGTCTAGTTTAATTTTAATTGTTTTTGGGTTAGAGATCAGTTGTTTGAGTCATGGTTCATAATGTCTCTTCTACGTCAGAAGTCAGGTATCTTTCATTTTTATCTCATAAGTGTTTATTTCTTTATTTGGCTGTCTAGATGTTGCTGCACCTATAGAAGCTGAACAGGATGCTCTGGGACAGCCTGAAGCACCAGTTGAACATGCTAGTGCATGCAGTGAAGAGTGTGATGGATCAATGTCTTCTGATGACATGGATAACCTTTATTCTGACGACCCATTTCTTGCACATGAAGCAGTGTCCAAATGGCAATTGAAGGGGAAAAGGAACATTCGATATCTTACACAGAAGTCAGTCAATATGGAATATGGAAAAGGTTCTAATGGAGCTTCTCATGGAATCTTCCACAGGATGAAAGGAAGTATCTATAGCCAAAAGGCATGTGGTGCTCATGGTGCCAATTTGGGCAGAAATTATATGGGGGCCAACATGCATTGTCTTGGTAACAGAGGCTATTCTTATTCATCAAGGTTAGCGTCCAGAGATCAAAATATTACTGGTCCTAATCTGATAAAATGGGAAGGCATGGGTTTGGAGAGTCAACATACTTTCAAGAGACATTGGGAAGACAGAGGGGAGCACTTGAATTCAATATTTGTTGACCATCACCGATTTGGGGGAAGGGCAAGATCAATGTTAGTAGACGTGGATTTGAAGGTTCAATCAAGCTACCAAAAAGATCGTGTTCCTATTGTTTCTCTTATCAGCAAGTTTGATGGGAAGGCAATAATAGGACATCCGATCTTAATTGAAGCTGTGGAAGATGGTTCATCTGAAACTCCTTATGGTTTAAATGATTATTATGGCAATGAAGCAGTTGACCATGATGAAAGTACATCACTTCCACCAGCATGGCGGACTGCAAGAAGGACCAATTCTAGGGTACCACGCCCTCATTTATCATCAGTGTTGGGTGCTGATGCTGCTGCTGAGGATATTTTGTTTATGGATCAAGAAAGAAGAGTTCCATTTGGGAAATCAAGTGCGAGCAGTTTCAGTCACAAGGCAAACCTGGTAAGGAAGAGCCTTCCCCATGTTCCCCGGCCTTCAGCAGACAAGAAATTCCCGAGAAAATTGCCAAAGAAAGGAAGCTTACCGTCTAATCAAAAAACAAGAACCCTGTCATCAATTGGTATTAAACAGAAATTTGTCACTAAGGCCATACATGATGCCAGTAATGGTAAAATGGATGGGCTTATCAAACCTGAGACGTCTGGGCCAACTACAGTTGCTTGCATTCCTGTCAAATTAGTATACAGTAGGTTACTTGAGAAGATCAATAGACCACCATCAAACACAGCTACCAAAATGGTGGTCTCTACCAGGGGTGGGGATAGGCAACCTTCATAGATAAACATGTACGTTGTTATATGGACATGCTAATATCTGCAGTGAAAACCTGAGTACATTGTCAGAATTGGCAATGTGAGGATCATATCTCTTGAATTAGATGGCACGGTGTTCAAGAAAAACCTTTATATACTGAACAGCCTGGGCAATGTTGCAGTTTTGAAGTGGCACTTTTTCCTGGGCATCGGTGTCCTGAAACAGGAGCTTTAGGAGCAAAAGAAGATTAGAAATTATTACAGATGATAGAAGCTAGCTTGGAATTCAGATAGATTTGTATATATTTTATTCTATATAAGGTAGTGCTTTTTCAGGTTTTTCTTTTAATCTTTCTATTTAAAAGGCACAGGGAAGCTTGCTATGGTTCAGATCGATGATTATTTTGAATCTATAGTTTCATTTTAACGGTCATTAGATGTACTACTATGAGAGCCATGGCTCCTGCTTCGGCTATTTTCCTCGAAAGCCAGACAGCTATAGTATGTGCAAAAGGCAAAACTTTCTCGACGACTCGAAGTTATTATAATTGGTGACTTGGTTACTGTTCTGGCCCACAAATAGCAATGCTCTTTATGCAGAAAACGAAGTTGAAATTAAGAAAGAGGGAAAAAAAAAAAAAAGACGGGGGTTGGAATGTAGCAGCTGAACTATGAGATGAGCAGACCAGAATTTCTGCTATTCAAGTTATCTTGCTGTTGTGAAGAAAACAAAATGCCTATATGTAACCAGTCCTTGTAAAATTTAAGCAAACAAGGTTACCAGCCAACATATCTTGAGAAGTAGTCATAGTCAATTTAAATAGCAAGAGCAACGGCAAGAGCTCTCTCTATGCTGCCAGATTCAGAGGACGAATAACTTCCAGTCCTTGAATCTACCCCTTTAAAGCGAAAAACACGCATAAAATGAGGAGGATATTACAATATGAAAGTCTACCCATCTAATTTTGAAAATTACCAAGTAGGGGAAAAATCAGAGCCAGTCTGTCTAAATTAGAAGGATATAAAATTATAAATAAGAGAGGATTAGAGGGATATTTTTTGCCAAACGAAGGACACAGGCGAACAAAATGGTTCCTCTCTTCTTCTACTCCATCTGTTATAGACTTACAGTTTTCACCACGGGCCGACCTAATGAATCTGCTCAAGCACAGATTCTGAATATATTGTCTCATTGATTCAGATTTAATCAAGCTTTGTGGCCTTACTGTTGTGGATTCTTTTGTGCCAGCCTCAATTGAGAGGATTTTGAAACAAAAGATTTTTATTATATGGTTAGAAGATAGTCTATCTTTCGGACTCTCAAATAAACAACTAAAATGATTAAGTAAATAAATTTAATTAAATATGAAGATATTAATGAAAACAATATCTCTATTTAAAAATTAAATTAACTCACAATAATTAAATAGAAATTCAATCAACTAGTTTATAAACTATGAAATGCAAAGCTAAACGAAAATAGGAGTCCGTAACTACTAAATTAAAAGTATTTATAAATAATACGGATCCTAGAAGCATAAACGGTACTGATTTTAGAAATGAAAGCATAAAAACTTATGATGCTAAAACCGCCGAACAAACTCCAAACATTGAGAGACAAGATCTCTCCGTGTTGCAATGAAAGTGATAATCGAACTAGGAACAATCTATCAACCTACTTGTTTACAACTTAAGCGATTATTACTTACAAACTATAGTCTATTGTGTTCGAGTGTTTGAGCTAAAAGATAAAACCGACAATTTGCAAGAGTATTGTATTGTAGTTGTTGATTGTGGTGTTCGTTTTGTTTTTTCTTATGACCGTAACTCGGTATTTATAGCCCTTCCAATCTTTTACATTCTTCTATACTAGGCACATTCTTAAATAGCAATAACCTCCTTCCTTAGGCCGCAATACTCCATGTCCGCAATGTTCCACTTTCTCTAGTGTTCCCATTCGTTCGTTGTAACATATCACGCCCTTCTTATTTTTGGTTCAGCTTGCTCAATTCTATTAACCCATTGTTGCGCATAGAGGTTTTGGTTTCCCATGTCTTTTTGTTCACGTTGCCATTCTATTAAAAGTTATTCTAAATCTTTATGTTTGCAAAACTAATATGGGCTTTTTTTTTTTTCTTGTATGAGTTTGTCCGAATTTTATCTAGCAAATCGAGCTTTGGACATATTAATAGCTTTTAGGGCTTTACAACTCGAAACATCATTAGGCTCTATCTAATTTAATTGGGCTACCAAGTCCTAATTAAATTTGGATATAACATTTGCCCTTTTTTTTTACATGTGAAATCAATTCTCACATGTAAAAAGAAATAATTGCTTTGGCACTTCTTCGTCTACCCTTACTACCCCTAATTTCCAACACTACAATGAGTATTGGAATTAGTATGTCTCTTCATTCTATAACGGTCATTTGAATTCACATGTCTCTTTAATTACCATGCATAAATAGAAGGAGGACTTCAATTGCCCTTCCACTATTGAATTGATTTTCAATTCAAACTCTCTTGTGATCGTCTTCCCCATTTTAGGGTTTCATTCTCTCTTTATTTTTTTTTAACGCTTTCAATCAATGATACATCAACCACTCCTTCTCTATGGATTTTAATAGTAAATCTCCTTCCAAATCGCCAAATATCCTTCCCCACTCCAATCCTTATTTGAGGTGGCCTTGCGATCCGAGCGTCACTTCCAATATTTTCCTTTTGATCATCCCTTTTTAATCTATTTTGCTCTATTATCTCCTCTTATTAAGGTTCATAGGGCTTTTGCTGATTTCTATGCTAACACCCAACCTCATGCTCTAAGACCCTTTTAGTTTCGAGTTATAGATCCAAAGATGATGTTTAAAGAGTATAGGCACTCTTGGGATGTTTGATTGCCGATGAAAGGGCTACATTCCCTTATTGTCACCCTATTGCTATAAAGGAGGTGAAATAGAATCAATTCAAGAGTTATTCCAAATGTTCGACAAGAACGAGCCAAACTCTCAATTTGAGATTAATGGCCTTTATAATGCATTACAATGACATTCTAGTGATCAAAGGAGGTGAAATAGAATCACTTCGAAGATGAGAATGTTTGACATACTCGACTTAACCATTAGCCATGCTCCTAATCGCAATCCCTATCTTCTTGTTAAGTTTATGGGATATCGCCAATAATTGTATTCACATGAAGAGGGGTCCTATAGGTGTCACTCTAGAAGATGTAGTGTCTCTATCTAGTTGTTCCCTTTCATGGGTGGATCTCTATAATGCCATGGCATTGGTTGATCCGGATGCCTAGTACAAGTCTGATTTTCTAGATATGGTGATGGACGTTAGATCCTATTCCGCTTATGCTCTAGCTTTGTCGGCTTCTAAAGGGATTGAAGCTATAATAGTTGGTTTTTACCTTTGTTTCTTTGTAAGTACATTATCTAACTGTGAGCATAAGGTATCTTCTAATGGTTACTTGCTATGTGTCGGCATGCGAGCACTGTTGCTTTTAGACCTTTACTTCTTACTTATGCCAATCATGGCATGTTTGAAGTTACTTTTGGTGACCTTGTTCACAAGAATTTTCCTTGCTTTTTTTGGCTGGTTGTGTTATAGGTTGTTGCCTACTTTCCAAACCTAGTGTCCAGGTTTCTAAATTTTAATCCTAACATGATCTATCTTATACATGGTCATTATTTTAATGCTTATCGTTGCTACCATTAACACGATCAATTATGAAGATTGTGTTTATGTAGTTTGATTTGGCTAGTTTCCTACTTCTACTTCGGTTCCCTTCCATTTTAGGTAGTTTAGACTCGATTGGTATAAAATCTATACTTTATAGAGTGCTTTGGAAGAAGATAACTTAGACTACTCGTAAGGTCGTCTTGACTTGCAATGAACTTCCTTTGTTCCTTAGTGACCATTATGCTTGTGGAGCCCTACTTTCCTATCCATTTTGCTAGGCAATTTGGACTTTTCTAGGATATTCCTATCACTCCCCATGTATTGCACAATGATCCTAGACATGATAGGAGGCCTCTTGAAGGAGAAGTTCAAAATTGTTGGAAGAGACTATGAAACTCTATAGTTCCATAATTAAACTTTCTCAAAGTCAACTAATGTTTAGAGATATGAATCCTTTTAATTCTTGGTGGACCACAATGATCGCGGGGTCATTGTTTTAAGGATTCCGACATCAAAGATGCAATTTTAATCCTTAAAGAGCCCTTCTTTGACTCCTTTTCAAAACTTACCAATTCGACATTTAAGAATAAAAAACTCCTCGTCAAGATCCTCTTCAATCTCTTAGTGGTGATGGAGGTGAAGAAGATGAAAACAAGACCCTAATTTCCAAACTATATGTGACAACCCTAACCTAAGACCTAGATAAGTCGAGAGTATTATCGACGTTAACCTACATTCGAGTGAAAGGAATGCAAGCCAACAAGCGTTATTCCTTAACATTTCTAAATTACTAGCAAAATATGGGTTTTTGGTACAAGTCCCTAATAACTAAGAAATAACAAGTCCAAATTAATTAAAAACTTAGGAATAATTTTCTTAAAAAATTCCACTAACACTAATTTATTTTCCTACATCTTGTGTAGAAATATTAAATGTCATAATTTGGTCAAAAAATCATTTTTTTGAAATCTAATTTAACCATTTAAATAAAATACCTTACAATATAATGAATAGTACCATGTCTCTTAGTTTTCTCAAATTCCTTTTAGAAATTGATATTTAATTTAAAATAGAAATATTTAATTTCTAAATAATCTATAAAACATAACGAGGATTATTTTACATTATTTTCCATCCAAATATAATTTAATTATAATATATTCAATTTAATTAGAAAATAATCAATATATATTAAACTATTCAATCTTGATTTAATGCCATTATTTTTATAAGAATTCCATAGACTAGAAATCCATTTAATTAATTCAATTAAGCACTTAGTAAATTCATTTAGACTTTTAATTAGATTTTGACAATTCAAAATATTTTTTGGACTTATGAA